GTTTTTGTTTCTTGATTTCAAAGACTGGAAAAGTAATATTTAAAGATTTCAGCTCCCTCAGGTAGGGGGATTTGGGGAGTTGTAGTCACCAAGACTGCCAGAAATAGTGCAAATTGAGTCCACTTTTAGGGTTAGGATTAGTGCTAGGGAATCATGGGAACTGTATTTTATTGTGGCACCAGAGCTCTCTGACACAGAAGGCTCAATGTCTCGGGGGGGGGGGGGGGGGGGGAAACAATTCCCATGATTCCCTAGCACTAACCCTAACCTTAAAAGTGGACTCAATTTGCACTATTTCTGACAGTCTGCAACCCCCCTTAGTTATGAGTTCTGCTATGTAATCGGGTTGGGACATCTTAAGTATTGATAGATCCTATGTTATCCACATTTCTTGACAGTAAAGGAGGGCAGAGGGAAGGAACAATTAGAATTTCTAAATATAATGAATTTTATTTTAATTATTCCCCAGTTTTGCCCCCTTTGAGAAGCTCCCCGGCAGTGGTTTGCTCAACCTCGACCCCACAGTTTGTGATTTAGAATTTGAAAATTGTAATTCCTTATTTTTATATTTCCTTAACTGGTAACACATGCTCCAAGGCCAAAAACCTCCAGGTAGATATAGTTCACACACACACACACTTTACAAACTGTGAACTGGACAGTCATGATGTAACCTCCAGTAATGACAGTCTCCAGTATTGCAAGAACTTAAAACTTCACTTAAACAAAGTGAGCCAGGGATATTTCCATATGCAATTTTATGAATATGTAAAGTATTGATTACTGTAGCAAAGGCTGTTCGGCTTTCCAGAATGTAGAAAGCTTACTGTTTGAACCAGGGGTAGGCAACCTTTCTCCTTTAAGGGCCGAGGGACTTCAGCTCCCAAAAGCCTCAGCCATGTTGGCCAATAGTCCCATGTTGGCCAATAGATTCTGGGATTCTGGGAGCTGAAGTCCCTCGGCCCTTAAAAGGGAAAGGTTGCCTGCCCCTGGTTTGAACTATAATTCACAGACTTCCCCCCCCCCAAACAGTGGTCACACTTGCTGTGGATTCTGGGTAGTGCAGTAAAAAAAAAAAGGTAAGCTTTCCAAGTTTCGTGTTTTCATATTTTCAATTAATTCCTATCGGAGAAAAGTCAATGCTTGGGGAAACTTCTTCCTTCTATAGACTACAGTTCTAAGACTACCTCGGCCAGCAGTAACCCAAAAAATAACTACTTTTTCGAGCTCTGGCAGCATTTGATGGTAAATCGGGCAGAGGCCTCCTGGTTCTTGGCATAGCAATAAGAGCATGGGTTCTGGATTCTAAACTCGACTCGGTCCCTGGATCCCACCTTCCATTTCCACCGAGTTTGTCGTGCAAAGGCCAATACTAGAGCGACAGGATCTGTCAACACAGGTAGAAGCCTATTTACCTTGCAGGTTTTGTTGCTGTTGTTGTTGTGTGCCTTCAAGTCGTTTAGGCGACCCTATCATGGGGTTTTCTTGGCAAGGTTTGTTCAGAGAAGCTTTGCCATGACCTACCCCTAGGGCTGAGAGAGTGTGACTTGGCCAAGGTCACCCAATGGATCACATGGCCCAGCGGGGAATCGAACCCCGGCCTCCAGAGTTGTAGTCCAACACTCAAACCTCTATGCCACGCTGTCTCTCATTGGGATTTTACAAACAAATTTAACTCCCATACGGATATTGGCTGGGGATAGGGTTGCCAGGCTGAAAACTGGAGAGAGCACCTGTTCCTTTCAGGGTTGTGTAAGGCTGAAATTTCAACAGACAACAAGTTCCCTCTTCTACACAGCCCCTAAAGAAATAGGAGCCCTCTCCGGTTTTCAATCTGGCAACCCTAGTTAGTGGGAAAGAAAGGTGTGGAAAGGAACGACCTTCTTCTCCAAACCACAGTCTCTCCTGAAGTCATATCTGTTTTGAATTTGAATTGACAGTCTCACACACAAAGGGCTTCTTATCTAGGTCTGACTCTGTGTTCTCTACTCCAAACATGCTTCTGAGGAAGTAGACTGAAGTCTACCCAAAGTTCATGCTACCAACTTCTTTCTTTCAGTTGGGGGGGGGCGTTTGCAGACTGCCAGAAATAGTGCAAATTGAGTCCACTTTAAGGGTTAGGGTTAGTGCTAGGGAATCATGGGAACTGTGTGTTTTTTTCTGAGACATTGAGCCTTCTCTGTCAGAGAGCTCTGGTGCCACAATAAATACAGTTCCCATGATTCCCTAACCCTAACCCTAACCCTAAAAGTGGACTCAATTTGCACTATTTCTGGCAGTCTGCAACCCCCCTTAGTCTCAAAAGGTGCTACAAGATCCCTTTGCATATAGGGGCTGGCCATATGGCAAAGTACAGAATCATCTATAATCCACAAAACAATGATACCTTTATTGGACTAGTAAAAAAAGCTCATGTTGCAAGCTTTCAAAGCTCCAATGGCTTCTTCATCAGGCAGGTGTTAAAAATTGTACAGGAGGGGGGAAAGCGTTTTTTTCTACGATGTTAATCACAGTTCTAGGGATGCAGTGGCTCAAGTGGTTAAGGCGCTGTCTCTGTTGATTGCAAGATCGGCAGGTTGGTAGTTCGAGGCCCAGGTGCTGCATGATGGGGTGAGCTGCTGTCATTAGTCCCACCTTCTGCCAACCTAGCAGCTTGAAAGCATGCAAGTAATAATAATAATAATTTAAAATTTATTTATATCCCGCCCCTTTGAGATCAATCAGGGTGGCTAACAACAATAAATAGGTAGATAACAGGTAGATAAATAGGTACCACTTCGGTGGGAAGGTAACAGCATTCTGTGTAATCATGCTGGCCACATGATCACAGAGTAGTCTCTGACAATGCTGATTCTATAGCTTAGTAGCAGACTTGACAACCCTGTTACCAGGGAATACCTTTACCTTTACCTTTACCTTTACCTTTACCTTTACCTTTACCTTTACCTTTACCTAATCAGAACCCTGTATTTGGTCAAGATGTTGTGGTGGTTGTCCTCAGTTCAGATGGCATGGAAGGGTATTCTTGCAGATGAGCCCCTCCTCCTCCTCTTGACCATGTGGGTACTGGGAGATCCAGTGCAGGAAATGAACTTTAAATTCCATTAGGAAGACAAAAAGCTACTATCTTTGAGATCGAGTTTGTCTCGACTCCTTTGGGAAGCCCCTCTTCTCCCTCCACTTTGGCACTCTCGCCTGGTTGCAATGATTCCCAAACTCTGGTCTTCTAGATGTTTTGGACCTCAGCTCCCAGAAGCCTCAGCTATCTTGGCCAATGGTTTGGGTTTCTAGGAGCCAAAGTCCCAAACACCTGAAAAAGTTTGGGAATCACTGCTGAAAGGAGTCACTCAGACATTGTGACGAGAGGACCAGCCGGCAGGGGGCGCTCTGCACGGAGCCTGTGCTTTTTGGGCTGGCTTTCCTCTTCTAAAGCGACTAGTGGTCATTCTTCACCTCTCTCTGGAGCAAGAGAGCCGCGCATTGAGCGCCCCCTAGCGGCAGAAAGCCTTGCCACTGGTTGCAGAGAGGAGAGAGTCTGTAAATCGCAGGAGCGCAAGTGAGATAAAGCCAGGGATGGAGGAGTAGGGAGCGTTAGGATGACCAAGCGTCCTCCTTTTCCAGAACATGTCCTCCATCTCAGCCTTCTGTCCAGGGGGAATTCCAAAATGTCCTCCATTGTGATTATGACTCAGATGCATTTTGAGCATGATAAGAAGCATCTGATCACCCTACCTGTTCAACTTGCATGCTAAACATATTCTAAAGAAAAGAGGCTTGGACACAGCAGAAGGAGGAGTGAAAATAGGAGGAAGGAATATCAGCAATCTAAGATATGCAGACAACACCATAATATTAGCAGAAAACCTCACAGACCTGGATTAACTTACTAAGGAAGAAGACCAAGGAAGAAAGTGCAACCGCAAGACTGCTGTTGTACAAAAAGAAAAGAAAAATAATGACCACAGAGGAGCTACACAAATTCAACCTAGGCAATGAAGATATAGAAATAATAAAAAGGTTCTCATACCTGGGATCAAATGTTGATAAAAATGGAGACTGCAGCCAGGAAATCAGAAGGAGATTAAGAATGGGGAGGGTGGCTATGAAAGAACTAGAAAAGATTCTAAAATGCAAAGATATACAATTCACAACAAAAGTTAGAATCATACAAGCCATCGTATTCCCTATTACTATGTATGGATGTGAGAGCTGGACAGGTAAGAAAGATGATAGGAAGAAAATCAATTCATTTGAGATAATGTGGAGCTGGAGAAGAGTGCTGAGGATCCCATGGACAGCCAAAAAGACAAACAAATGGGCCCTAGAGCAGATCAAGCCAGAAATCTGCCTGGAAGCCAAGATGACAAGACTTAGGCTGTCATACTTCAGACATGTGAAAAGGCACTACTCACTGTGTAAAAAACAATAATGCTAGGAAATGTGGAGTAAAGTAGAAAGAGATGCTAGTTGGATGGACTCTATTAAGGAGACCAACAGTATGAGTTTGCAGGACCTGAGCAGAATAGTGGAGGACAGAGTCTTGGAGATGTCTCATCCACAGGGCAGTTAACAACAACAACAACAACAACAAAAGAAGCATAAATTTATATTTATATGAATATTTTGAGCTTTCCTTTGGTCATTTTTCTGGAAGGTCCTATGTTTTGAGGATATCTGGTCACCCTGGGGAGGAGGGCAGAAGAACTGTCCAAACGCATCCTTCATGATCTTTGGCCATGTTGGAAAGTGGAAAAGATGCAATGCTTTGGCCTCTGCGGAAAGGGAGAAGCTGAGGGAAACCAACCTATGAAGGGCTTCCCTTGGTTTCTGAGCTATTTTGTTGTTGTTGTGTGCTTTCAAGTCTTTTCCAACTTAGGGCGACCCTAAGGTGAACCTATCGAGGGGGTTTCTTGGCAACTTTTTTTCAGAAGGGGTTTGCCAGTGCCATCTTCTGAGGCTGAGAGAGAGTGACTTGCTCAAGGTCACCCAGAGGGTTTTCATGACCGAGCAGGGATTTGAACCCTGGTCTCCCAGAGGCACATTCAAACCACTACACCACACTGCCTCCCTTCTGGGCGATTTTTGTACACTTAAGGACCAGCAGCTGCACGTGTGAACGGGCTCCACTATTAATCCTTGTGTTTGGTGTGGAGTGAAAATGATTGTGTGGTTACCTTGTTTCAGGGTGACTAGACACCACCAAAGAGGCCAGGGCACCACAAAATGTAGGGTATTCAAGAAAAATGTAGGATGTGGCCAAATAAAAGCTAGCAACACTCATAGAAATATAGGGCCTTTGCAGACTGCTAGAAATAGTGCAAATTGAGTTAAAGAATAGTGCAAAGCACACTTTAACTGCCCTGGCTCAGTGCTAGGGAATCATGGGAGCTGTAGTTTTTTTCTGAGACATTGAGCCTTCTCTGTCAGAGAGTTCTGGGGCCACAATAAACTACACTTCCCATGATTCCCTAGCACTGAGCCAGGGCAATTAAAGTGGACTCAGTTTGCACTATTTCTGGCAGTCTGCAAAGGCCCATAAACTCCTGCTCCAAATGGAGAACATTTTGAACTTCCTCCTGGACAGAAGGGATGAAATGTAGGATGTGGCCATCCAGATGTGTCCCAGAAGAAGCCCAAAAAGACAACTGGATCCTCTTTTTCATGCTCCCTACCAACTGATGTACCTCCTTATATTATTCCACCCTTGGTGCCGGAGGGAACTAAATATCCCATCATCCCCAGCAGCCATTGACAGTTCTCTCCCCTCCCATTTTAGCATTTTAAAGTTGACCGCCATCACCACTCCTTATGACAGCGAATCCCCCTGTGGAACTAAGAACTGCTTCCTTTTTATCTGCTCTGAATTTAAACATATTTTTATCTTGACATCTTTTTAATCTCTCCTCTCCAGCTTCAGTGGCTAACCCAGGAGTTCTTGTATTATGGAAGAGAGAAGAAGAAAAATCTTCCCTATCTTCTTTCTCCACTCATTGACTTAATCCTAGTGTTAGTGACTACAGTAAAAGCCATAGAATAAATGGGATTTATTCACATGTCCACTCATCAGTCAACCATTGATTAATTAGGCTTCTTCGAACTGGAATTGACCAACAGGATTCCAGCCTTTCTGCAATTTCACACTTTCCAAATTTACTGGTCTTGGAACCCCAAACGTTGCAACTTTTTTGGCTGCCCTTTTCTGCCCTCTTTTCATCTCTGCAGTGCCAAGGGGACCATTCACACGATACAGGTATAGTACTGAGAGAGCTTTTTCTTACCTGTACTGCTCTCTGAACAGGTTGTCTGGCTCAAAGGTAAGTACAGTGGGCCCTTGGTATCCGCTGGGGTTTGGTTCCAGGACCTCCTGTGGACACCAAAACCCATGGATGTCTTTTTAGGGTTAGGGTTAGT